CCCGTCCAATCTAAAAAGCACATACTTTCTCATAGAAACTTCGTTTTAGCTGAATTATATTTACCGGTGTTTAAATAAATACACCAATATATCTGAAGTGGTAGTATGTCGCGATTTCTTGTTACAAGGGGTAAATTTGTGTAGATTGGCTTCGCAGATTTTTAAAAGTAGAGCCTAATATGTGACATATTAAGCAGGACTTCTGAAAACAGATTGGACATGATCGTGAAGAATGATTGAGTTTTCCTCCGTAATTCATCAAAGTTTGATGAATTTATGGAACTTTAATAAAGCAGTAGAAGATTGTATGTCACCATTTTAAAATGGAAATTAACTTACATCAGTCTTGCAATATGTATTTATAAGTAAATCCTGAAAATAAATACCTTTGTTAGCCTTCAACGCTGATCCTGATCATAATGTTTTTACTGGGTACATTTTTGGTTGCAGGTTCAGCATCTGTCACAGATTAGGTTTGTGTGCTTTATGCTACGCATTTCCTATGATAACCGGTCAGCTTAGGTTACATACACTTCAATCTATCGACATTTGATTTAAATATACGCTCATACCTTTTCACAGTGGAATCTTGGATTTATTGGTTTTGAGATTGCTAAGTAAAGAGATTTCGGAATGCTGGGTTGTCAAATTCTGTATATCTGTTACCTTTCCATCTGTACGGCTGTATCCAGCTTTATCGTCGCTAGTGAACTAACACTCATATTAATTCGGGACCATAAAATCCGTTATCGCAGAAACGCTTATGGTATTACAATGGACTTCTGGATGATGTAAGATAAATCTTACGACAAAGCTGTTATTAAGCGCCACGAAAGTCAAGTTGATTTCGTAAGGTTATATGAGTAAGAGACAAGGGTTGATGGTTCAGAATGAAATCCGCTACAATCAGGAAGTAGTATAAAATACTATGGAAAATTTTCTGTACATGAGTGACTTATGAGAAACGAACATTTTAAATATTAAATGAATTGGACAGGATATAAAAATATTAAACTATCTCTTTATTCCATGGGCCTGAATAGTATCAAACAGGACAATTATTTACATCCTTTTTCCATGTTGGATTCCGAAGCTAGGTTAGTGAGTTTGAAGTAAATGTTATTTTAGCTTAAATACAACTCGAAATGGACGTCAGTAACTGCTGCAAAATAAAGCAGAAAATAGGATCCGTGTCGCCATTTGCTAGTAATCGTACATATCCGCTAGTATTCATGAAATGTATGTGAGTTTATTCATTCGACTACTAACCGTTGATCTATTAGGTATCCTACCATCCTTCAACGAAGTGCGTTTTGGAAATTTCACTTCAGACCTAAAAAAAGTGGACAGATGACTAAGATTTTACACAAACAAATGATCCGTGTAATTGTTCATTACTGTCCTGTTGCGAGCTGCATAACAATACTTTTCATGGAGAAACTTCAAACAATGTGGACACTGACACGATATCTTGTTAGACCACTCCAACATAGCGCGCAATGTGTATTTCGAACATATACGTAAATTGCATTACACGAAGTATGTCCAGATGTACAACGTCAACTGTCCGACATGCAAGCAAATTTATACGATCAGTTTTCATCCCATGAATCACAATTATTTATATTACGTTATCAACGTCAGTTATGTTTTTTGCTGTCGTTCAAATAACTTTGTGACGCGCGAATGTGAACCGATTGATTTCTTTGCTCTCAATTCGTTTTGTTTCTCCATGGTCCGGTGATTTGATGACATGTAATGCAGAACGTTTTATTTACCTGGCTGTTTGGTGGTTATTTAGGGTTTCGTAAGTGTAAGAGCCAATAAATATTGCACGAAAGTTGGTTTCGGACGCTCTTCATCTCATTTTGTTTCTTTGCATTCAGATGAAGATTACATTTGTCTATCGTAGCTGAAACAAAAACAATAGGGTGGTACAAATACGAATCAATAAATTCATTTGTTATCGTCAATAATCCGTTATATTTTCTGTAACTTTAATGCTAAAAGCGATTAATGCTCTGTGTAAGTAATCCTGTCGCTTAGTTGTTGAGAATAAAACTGTTTGCTTCATCCTTGATTGTTTCTTTAGTCTCCTTGATTGGATTAAGTTTGTGGAATAGTACTCTGGAGCCGAGTATTCGCCGTCCGTGTATCATTCGGTTTTCAAGAATGTACTTCAGCATTTCTTCATATGTTTGTTAAAACACTGTAATGTATCAAGCTGAAAACGCCACAGGTATTCGGAGTTTCACAACGCTTTAACCAGTAACACCTTATATGGATCGTACTCACCGAGTGAAATCAATAGACAGAAGCGAGGAGGTTCTAACATATATTTGATAGGCTATCAATATATCGAGGATCGTCTGATCTAATCTGGGTAGCGATTGCAGTGGATGTTGAGCATGGCGTTCCAACTCGTGATCTGGTGCAGATGCGTGACCGAGAGCCTTCAGCTAGGTGAGTCCATTAAAACCAATGTGGTCAGCATCCAATGTCGAAAACTTACAGGGTTATTTATTTTGGGGATTTATTTATCGCTACAGCTCCATTCATAAACTCTCCAGTTTCGGAAAAGTGTCACTCATAGAAATAGCGTTTGCTTCTTCAAAATCAAAAGGCTTGACATAACATAATTGGCTGTTGCCTAGAGACTCTGCTCACTAATCACTTGCATTGATGAATTTTAGTTCATGATAGACAATTTCGAAGGCCGGATTGTACACCGTTCTGCAGACGTTTCCTCTTAAAGAAGATGAGCAGTTTTCTCCGGATGACAATCACCAAGATATACTCAATTGTGCCCACCTAGTTAATTAGTATACAGTTCTGAGAGCTCCTTCTCGGTTTTTGTTTTTGGTCAGGAATGGAAATACAAGTTTTTCAGTTTGCTGCAGATTGGTTGACAATGCGGATAATAAAGTTAGTTTTTACGCAGCTAGATGTTTTAGTTTATCTCGTCCTTTTCATTTTCTTGTATCTGGAATGTTATGTTACTCTCAGTAAATAGTCACGGTTTTTTCAACGGTCAGTGATATATTCCTTAATATTACTTCTAAAGAAAATCTTTCGTGGAAAAGAGGCTTATGGACAAACACATTATTGATGTGATTCACAAAGTTAACTAAATTTTTCTTGCTTATCTCTAGAGGTAGGACGTGTGAAATTTTGAAGAACATAAGGTACGGAAAACTTTGCTCCGTGGATAGTTGCTTGCACTTGACACTTTCTCATCCACACCTTCAAGGTTTTATGGTTGTCTAGCTAGTAACCTTAACAACTCTAAAATATTTTAAGTACAAATTTCTCCGTATGTTTTGTTGTTGTTTACTGAGTAAAACCATTTAGATTGAGACCGGCTATAAAACGGATTCGAAATTGTACTTATTTTGTAGTAGCAAGATATCATTAAAACTTGAGAAATTTCCTTCGGTCAACTTTTTGACTCTGTCAGTCTTTTCCACAGTAGTTGACACTGCTTGGTACAAACCTGATATACGCTAGAGTATACTTTAACTGTCATTACTAGTCTTTATCTGAAAACTCATTCAGTTTGTAGAAGCCAAACTATCTGTTTGAGATTTCCAGGTTTGTATGGATTGACTGTGCCCTATTTCTGTCATTTTTGAATGGAGTAAGTTATTCAATTATTTGAAATTGTCTCTTCCCCCTGACTTAACGAAGACTTCTAGAGCTTTATTTTGTTTAAATAATTGACTTCATTTGTTAGCACAGTAAAAGCGACGATCATCATATTGACCTTGTTTCCGTTAGTTCATGGGTTATAAGTCTCAGCTGTCTCACAACAAAAAAATAAGGTCGAGGTTTACTTGTTTATTTTCCAATGCCGCTAATAGTTTATGAAGTATATAAACATTATTAAAATTTGTGGTATTTGACAGGTATTTATGATTATTCAATAAATTGCTGTATAAGAAACTCACGAATAGTTGTGTATCGTAATCAAGTAGTTTTTAGTTTGTAGTGTCATTTATTATGCCAAGCCCATATACCTTATTCTAACTTTCGGACATCCCATTCTATTCATTCTACTTGAGCCATACTTTGACATTGTTATTTATTCGCTTATCATTCTTCACTGTTTTTATATGAGCGTATATGTGTGTGCCCTTTTTATACCATTAATCACATGTCTGTAGCTTATTTGTGTCTGACTTTAAATATTGAGTAACGCTTGACTAAAAGGGAGTTGACATCCCAGCCATCTTCCCTGCGTGTCATTTTGCTTGGCTTTGTTTCATTCGCTTCATACACAAAATATATGTATTCATAAATCAATTCTCATTATTCGACTTATTTAATTCCGTTATTGGCTAACGCGATTAAGTCGACGATTATATACGAGAATAGGCAATAACAACCATTCGTACGATCTAAAAAGTAGTCAGATCCACGGGCCACTAAAATGGTGAGCCCAACGTGAGAACAGGAAAAGACGGGTCACCAAATGTTCAGCTTGTTTTGAAACCCCTCTACGATCAGTAACGTGCATATTTAACGATAATTTATTAGTAATACCTTGTTCTAAAGCTTAAATATTTTTCATTGTGTCGATGTTAGAAGAAATCAAATGCGAGTGGACTATTGGTGAACATCAATCCTTGCTTCTGCTTGTTTCCAACTAGCTCACATTAGAAGATAGCCTTATATCTGTGCCATCATAGACTAGTTCCTACAATTTAATTAAGTCGAGAAAATGAGTTCAGTATCAAGGATTAAATAGCTCGAATCTAGTTATCACGATGTATTCAGTCAATCTAGAAAATATTTAATCAATAAATTAGATAAAACCACTTATAATTAATCTGAATTCTTTCACATTATAAAAGAATAAATAAAGAGGACTGAGATAGTAGAAAGGAAAAATGATTTTATTCAGAAAAACACACGAGTAATTAAAGTTCTCAAGTAAACTGACGTGACATGTATATTTTATATGAAACTGTGTTAATCTATTTCATAAACCTTTACTTTTTTCAAGATTCTAAAAATGAATATGTGGACAATAGAATACATTAAAATAAATATTGATGAAGTTACGATCACAAAAATGTCAATAGTTTAATCCCAAAAAAATTATATTAAACCCTAGATAATAGTTGACATAATGATTTGATAAATAGATCCAAGTATGTGTCAACATATCAATTTAAATGGAAAACTAAGCATTCTCTTTAACCATAAAAATGTCACTTTATTCAACCAATTATCATATTGCGAGCAATTGAATTTCTTTTCTGTCAAGAATTCACACGAAATATGTCTCTAATCAGTTCATAAGTAATGCAGCTGTTATTTGCTTTTAATACCTAGATATCTTGGGAACATGAATGAATAACTCTAGTATTTATTCACTTGATATTCAATTAAATGAAGGATTATACCAAATATTCAATAAAGAATTCAGTTTTAGCAACATTACCTACAAACCCATGTCAGTTAATAAACTGCTAAACCAGAGAGGAGTTTTATGGAGATTGTAATAATTTGATAATTGAATTTATGAGTCATTTAAAGCTAGACCACCACTTTATCCAGTTGTGGGACTCCTCAGCAGTGCGCATTTACGATCCTGCCTCGCGAGATGCGAACTCAGGACTCGCTTAAAACAATGGTGGACGGGTCTCTCAATTTCGTGGATTAGTTGGAGTTAGACATTAACACAATTGGATGCCGGTTCAGTTGTCTAAAGGTTAAGCGTTTGCGTGCGAAACCGATAGAACCTGGGTTGAAATCTCGCGAGGCGGAATCGTGGGTGCACACTGTTGAGGAGTCACACAATAGGACGAAACGGTCTTCCAGTGCTTCCACGGTGATCTGGCCTCAATGATCAAACTGATAAATGCTTAATTGACCTTTATATAACTTTTTTAATCTTTGATCTGAAATTATTCGTGGGAGACTGTTAGAAAAATCTAGGATTTGTATTGTTTTATATGAGATAGTTCGTTAAATATACTAACCGTTTAGAAATTTGTAGCATTATTAATTAAGTATACACTCAGTGCTTCATGTTCATATGAATTTAACTAGATCAATAAGTTATAATAACTTAATGTAAAATCTAGCTGAATACCTTATATTGGTTTGTCATCAGTATAATCCACATTAGATGGGCTTAATAATTAATTACTCATCATTGCAAATGGATAAATAGCAGATTTAAATAGATGGTAAAATTAACCCAGTTTATAACAACAACTCGATTTGCATTCTAAAATCAGAACGTATTGTTCACGAAAATTAATGGTTTCATTATGATGAAAGTGGAACCTCATAAGACGAACACTTATACAAGATTTTTAATACTTCCTATGAAACATCAACTCCAAAACTTGTAGTTACTGAATCATAGGAGACATAGAAATTCCCTGAGTTTTGTTTGGGAACTAGAATAAAATTATCATCGACATCACCTCATACATAATGATTCAATTGTACTTACCTGAGCTAAAAACTTTAACCCGTGCAGTTAGTCTGAAAAAAAAAGAAATGAGTTTTTAGTATCCGTTACAATGTAAAAGGCAAACCTTTTCAGTTCAACACATTCACGAAGGAATTTTTCTAATATTTTAAGCTATATTTAGCTGATTAACATAGTTTATCCGTAATTTTCATTGTCAACAAGCAGCACCTACTTTAGTGTTTATGACGAATCACAGACAATTTACTGTTTCCAGTACAACCACAATGTTGTCGAAAAACAAGAAATAGAAAAGCAGGTGGGATTATAATTTATGGACGACCATTAAGCGACGCTAGACTGACCTTGAGAGTGTCCACCTGATAACTAGGACCAAATGAGTGTTATAAATTATTGTGAGGAAATCGAATTATGATCTACAGTTGATGGTTGAAGTTAGGAATTGGATTCAGGGTTTTCATCACGAACTGACATCAGCTATAATGCCAAGACTATATTTAGCCAAATGGATAAGTGAATTTCTCACCAAAATCCAAGACCTGTTATCTTATACCTGATTAGTTTGTCCATAAATTGTAGTCTCGCCGAAAAGCATTGTTGATATGTATTCAAATGGAAGGAAAAAACGCTAACTAATTTCCAGCATTCATATTCATAACATAGACTTCATTACTAATATACCTAATGTGGATTTAAAATTGGCACATTAATTTAATTATGTCAAATGTATTTTCTTTCAATTTATCATTTTCTATGTAGCTCATTTTGTGTATTTATTGAGCACATCATGTATGCTATCGGCAAACTAATGCAGTAAAACCTTGTTCCTACTGTTTTTAGTAATATCATTGTTTGATATCAAGAGAACTTATTACATTTTTGATATTTTGATACAAATATATATACTAGTGACTATCCTTAAGGTGGAATTTCTGGAGTTCTAGTGGGAAGCTGTGAACAGTGGAGCCTTTTGATGTTGGATATGAGATAGTTATCCATCACAGGCTATAAAATATGCTAGCGCAATATCATGAATTCATTGAGGTTAGGTATACACACTGCTGAATGCTGGCTAAGTAATCTAGGGGTTAGACATTCAACCGCCAGATCAAAGGCCCCAAGTTTGATTACGTGTGGCATGGTCATGGATACACATTGTTGAGGAATTCCGCACCACGACGAAAGATCTGTCAGGTTGTTGGTGTTCGATGGTATCCGAACTATGGTCAGCTCATAATTGAAACTATGAAAATATGTATACCTTTGAATTGATATAAAACTTTAAATAATATTAATTATTATTACTTACTGCATTACACTGTCAAATGCTGTAAAGGTAATTTGTTTCCATGTCTCAGTTTGATTTGTACCTGGTGTTTTTATCCAATCTATTACAATACTAGACCGACCCATCAATGAAGTAACAATAAGTTCTTTATTGAATACAGCTGCATGTAACATTAGATCATTCTAATAATTTATTTTTTTCCAGGTAAAAATATAAAGTTGTAATAACGTCTTTTTCAAAATAACACAAGTTTGTCAATAAATAAATTAGAATTTCTGATTTCATTAATCAGTTCATTGTTAAGCAGAGATGGCTAGTGGCTAGCAGTGGAGTCCAGGACGCGCGTTTCGTCCTAGTTGGGACTCGTCAACTGATTGTACCTGAGTCCCAGAGTTGATGTTCACTCCATGACTTTGCTTATAAAGCTAGTGGCTTCAGGCAATATCGAGGCGATCTGCACAGGATGCACATATGCTAATACAAGACTGATCAATTGCGGGCCCAAACAATAATGTGAAGATATAAGCAAACAACACCAATTGTATTTATTTTTAAGGAAAGAAAAACTAATAAACTAACTGACATCTTAACTTCATGGATAAACTTCATAGATTGATTGAAATAAATGTGATTCTCAGTTAAAAAATATGTGTAAATGAGTTATTTTTTGACAACTAGCTGTTAGTGAGTTTGTATTAGCAGTATTGATAAAAAGGGTTTGATTCTAGAGTTGATATAAGATAAGGAGTTAATTCATAGGATACTGAGGATGATTCCAATGTTATTACTGCGTTTTTGTGAAATTGTCGATTACAGTCAAAGTTTAAGTGAATGAATAATTTTCGCATTTATAAGCAAAGGTGGATGATGAATAGGAGTAGAATCCAGTACTTGTGTTTCGTCCTATTTGGAACTCATTAACTGAATGTACCTGCATACCATAGTTGATGTTTTTCTGGGAATTGAATTTTGCTTAGACTTCGTGAATAAGTATGCTTTCTCACCATCTGAATATAACATAATTACAGTAAATGTTGGATGTATTTGATCAACCTGAAATCTAGCAATCGGTTTTAAAGTAGTTGATTGGTAGTAATATTACCTAAGAGATGTTTTAACAAACAGTATAAATCTTATAAACAGGATTAATCAGTATCAATGATTTAGTAGTAAACACAATTGATTGATCACTGGGTGGTGACCAGTGTCATGAGTGTCAAGTACTTCTTGGTGCAGATTGAATACTATCGACCAAAATGCAATGTGGCCACTAGTCTAGGTGACTCGACATTGCGTGGACTATGTTGAGATAAGATGGTGGTTGGATGTAGTCAACAGGAAAACTGGGAACTGGTGCCCCCTCAAGATAACAGGTACACCTCGCTGACGAGCGCCAAGTAGCACGAAACCTGGGTCCAGGGTTTCCTGTTGACTACCTCCAACCACCATCTGATTTAATAGTTAATTTTATTTTCATCTTAGTACAGAAAATTACTGACCAACAATCAACTGATATTCTGACCATTTGTAGTAAAATGAATGGCAAAATAATTAGTGTTACAAAGATGAAGAGTAAGATACTCCATAACATAACAAACGTATATCCTTGATTTCACTATTAATCATTAGCGAAAATATAAAATATTAGTTCACTTAATATCTGGGCATCAATTCATTAATCTCAAGCACCAGCAAGAAATACTTAAATCTTTTTGGATAATGAGATCATTCGACTTAGTAATAGAGTCATTGACTTTTGATATTCATTTGTGTCATTTTTACAAATACATAACTCATAACGTTTGTCTGAGTATCAAAGATACAATTAAAGCAATCATGATTTTTTTCTTTCCGATGAAGTACATAATTTGATTTAAAAGATTCAATGGATTTATTCAAGGAATTAAAGGCTTTATTTGATATAAAATTTGTTTGTTATGGTGAATATTTCTTTAAACCGTTCAACGTAGATGATAAATGTGAACTGGAGTTTTGTTTACATCTTAAGCTCAATGCTAAATGTGTATAATTCATAAATAATCTCCCATTTCATAAACAGCATTGAAAATAGTTTCTTTTACTTTCTTTCTTTCCAGATAAACAATAATTCAGTAAAATGATCTAAATTCATGCTGACTTAAATGATTCTTTATTAAGTGGTAATTTGTATGCTGGTAGTTTACAGTGAACTAATTTCAACTGACGAGGATTCACAAATAGTTAACAAAACCTTATTCAATAAACATCAGTTGCCTGTATGAGAAATATATTAAGGTTTATATATTACATTAAGTCTTAACTATATATAACAGTAAATTGAATCACTTACAGTCCAATTTGACACGGTAAATACAAGTGGATTAGTTATATTTTCATTCAGTTTTTCATCAAATTTGATGAACTCTTTATGTTCATATTCCGAACCTGATCCACCAAATTCATACTTTTGTATACAACGTCTTCAATTAGATTCAAATAACATAATAAATGAAAATATATAACTTTATAATGAATAGTATGACAAACTATTAAATATATAAATTACATTTAAAGTTTTCAAAGATTTATGTCATCATATGTAAGAGATTGCAATTGTCTGTTGTTGATACAAGGTCCTAGACAAATAAATCTATTTTCGTTGAACAAGTTAATGACTGGTTAAACTCAGTGAATTATTGAATTATGTGGTGGCGTTTTGAGAGGTTGATAACGGGTTTGAATCTCAGTGCGAATATTCATACAGAAATGTAGATATATTCAAATGACTAGTCGTAAATATGATGGATTGAGTGTGTTCTGCATTCCACTATCAACCACAATCCTATATTACCACATATTTTATTTAATCATTTCTGACTGACACTACATTACTGTAAAATATTCATTACAACGGTTCGTTCATGTATAAGGTAATCATAGGAAACCCTGGACCTAGGTTTAGTGATATTTGACACTTATCAGTTACGTTTACCTGTAATCTTCAGGAAACTGATCCTATCTCCCTACAGGAGTCAATTACTTCTTGAATAGTTCATTGGTTAAGTCTCTAACTGTGAAGCAGGATGAGACGGAATGGAATCTGTCAAGTAGTATCAATTACCGCAAGAATACAGTACACCTCACTTTACACCGCAATATAACACACGCGATATCGGGTCACTCAAACTAGTATTCACATTGCAACTTGGTCTATAAAATTTAATTAAGAATAATAAAGACTTCAAAACATGACAGTGGTTACTACTTAATGATCAATTACTTGTGAACTACAAGAGTTCACGACATTTCTGATCACTTGCTTTAGCCAGAGTATGGGATAGTTCTTAAAAAAAATCATTGATTCCTTTCAATAATACTTTCACGTTCATGAATAATCCTGAAAATTTGAATAAGATCAAATGGAAATACACTTTATGACCTGCACTCCATCCCAGAATGATAAACGTTTACACTATTATAAATTGAATATATTGAATAGATTATTCTTATTAATGTTATTATTATTATTATTATTATTATTATTATTATTATTATCGTCGATAGTAATAATGGTAGTTCTCATATAATTTTAGAATCTAAAGAGAGAAACTTCTGGTGAAGTTCGAGAGTATATTCTAAACTATGATGATCAATGAATAAAACCCTTTCTATTGGTAACCTAAAAACGCATAACTGGTCAATTTACTTAACATTTATTAACCTTGAAAATTTATTATGACAAATAAACTATCGCTGTCGATAATCATTAGTAATGATTAAATGCTTACTGATTGATACCACAAAAATAAGCATATGATTACCTATCAGTTACTTTCTGAATATTTACAGCTTATGTTTAAAATACGATAATGCTGATTTTTTAAATGTAACATCTTTCAAACATAAGAATTTTGTTCATTAGTTTATCTTAACCCTGATTTAACTAATATCAGTAGGGTTTTTGTGGATATTATAGTAAGTTCAATAGTTGAGATCATGAGCCGATTGAAGCTAGATCAGTATGGAAACCCTAGAAGTACTGGATGGTCGTTTCGTCCTATTGTGGGACTCCTCAACAATTCACATCCACGATCCCGCCTCGCGAGATTCCAATCCACGACATGTCCGTCTCGCGCGCGAACGGTTAATCTCTAGACCACTGGGCCGGCATCCAACACTGTTAATGTCTAACTTCAATTAATCCATGAAGTTGAGCGGTACATCTACCATTGTCTTCAGTGAGTGACTGCTTCTACATCAGACACGGTTGAACTCGACTGGTCACTGCTCCTCACTAGCACTCCAGGAAATACCTCTTAAAGCCAATCACTAATGAGCATATGTTGATTAGTATCAGAAGATGTTTTTGTGGATATTATATTAATTTTAACAGTTGAGATCATGGGTCATAATCAGAGGTCTACAATCAACTCAATTCTAAACACTATTTACAAATGCATCAAAAAAAACCACATATATATTTCAGAATCTTAACAAGGAAAATATTTTACATTGTATAAATATCATTTAAGTATACCGTATAAATTGAATTATACAATCTATTCAATGGTGAATACTTCTTTGAAATTTACCTCAAAGATGTTTTTGTTAAACAAATAATAAAGAGTGGTGAACAGTAATCATATCGATCTTGCCCATTACACCATCTATGATAAACTGTAGTTCTTGATGGATAATAAAATGCTTGAAGTTGTGTAAGTATTGTCACATTAGTAGATTTCACAGAATAGATTATTCCGTATAGTATAAATAATACTGTGAAATATAATTGTTTCATGATTATTTAATTATATTCTATACTATAATTAAACAATAATAATAATATCAGAATGGGTTTTGTGGAGATTTTAATAGTTTTAATAATTGAAATTATGAGTCAGTTGAAGCCATACCACCATAGAAAACCTGGAAGCACTGAACGGCAGTTTCGTCCTAGTGCGGGACTCCTCAGCAGTGCGCATCTATGATCCCGCCACCCGCGATATCCGAACCCAGAACCTATCAGTCTCGTGTGCGAGAGCTTAAACACTAAACCACTGTGCCGGTATCCAACAGTGTTAATGTCTAACTTCAACGAATCCACGAAGTTGCGCTACCGTACACCATTGTCTTCAGTGGTCCAGTCGGCTAAGCGCCTGGCACGGGACTGATAGGTCCTGGGTTCGAGTCTCACGGGGTGTGGGATCGTGGACGCTCACTGCTGAGGAGTCCCATACTATGACAAAACAGCCGTCCAGTGCTTCCAGGTTTTCTATGGTGGTCTAGCTTCAATTGACTCATGATTTCAACAAGCGAAATAATAATAATAAACAAATTAGGATTCTATTAATTATTTTTTTCTCAAAATGATCTTAAAAATTACTTTAATTTGATTCATTTTTGTATTGGTTGTTTGAATCTTCCCACTGATGTGTTAGGACTGAAATTGATTAATCCCATTGTGGCATATATGCATCCTATGAGCATTGCCTCGATATTGTCATAAGTCACAAGCATTATAAACAAAAATGTATGGTTATTAACAGTGAAATCCAGGAAGAGCGTTTCGTCCTGTGTTGGGACTCTTCAGCTGAATATACCTGTATTCCAGAGTTGATATTCATTCTGGGACTCTAACCCAGTACCATTCACTTCAAACGCTATCGAAAAATCCACTTAGTTACTGAGTTCAGATAACCAATAGCTTGTGCAATAGGGTGAAGTTTTAAATTTTTTTGTATTGGTTATTTGAATGTTCTCATTGATTTTTAGAACTGTGATTGATCACTCAACAGTGGTATAGAGGTACATCCAACTGACGAGTCTTAAATAGGACAAAACATGAGTCTTGTATTGCTTAGTTCATTTTGTTTAAAATCAACAGAAAGATCACTCTAATCAGTAAAGAGAGCTATTTTTAATCTATAATTCAATGAGAATAAATTATGATATAAAACATTCTATCATTTTTATGACTTACATTCTTCAAAACAAAATTAAAACACCTTTATAAAGGTCATTCGAATATATAGTAAACATTTCTGTACTTTAAACTCATTAAACTTCAGTTATAATTATGTTTACAAAATATGGAACCATAATTAGGTTTTGTCAAGAACTCTTGAATGAAGAAGGGTATTAAAACAAAGTTCATTATCTATAATGGTAAGATAAAAATGTTTCTGATATTTTTAAATTATTAAAAATCGTAACCATTTATATTTGTTCACTTGATATTGTTTTACTTGAATCTTCCCATTGATGTTTTAGGACTGAAATTGATCAGTCTGTTATTGGCATACTGTGCATATGCCTCGATATTGCCTTAATTTACGAGGATTATAAGCAAAGATGGATAGTGGCTAGCAGTGGGATCCAGGACGCGCGTTTTGTCCTGCTTGGGACTCGTCAACTGGATATACCTGCATCTCCCATTGATGTTTTAGGACTGATCAATTACATTCCTAAAATATCAATGGGAAGATTCATGTAAAACAATATCAAGTGGATTAAACTTCACCCCATTGCACAAGCGAGTGGCTATCAGGACTCAGTAGCCAAGTGGATAACGCAAGGGCGTTTGAAGCGAACGGTACTGAGTTCGAGTCCCAGAGTGAACATCAACTTTCAGATGCAGTCACATCCAGTTGGCGAGTTTCAAATAGGACGAAACGCACTTTCGGGATTATACTGTTAGCCACTATCCATCAGTGCTTATGTTATTTAATTTGTTTAGTTTACCCTTAAGGAAACCAGTTATATTATATCAGATTGAAGTCAGAATTAAAAACCTGATATTTAAACGTTGTTATCATTTATTGTGATATTGCCACATGAAAATTGAAAAAGTTCTACATTTAATATCTCAGTTAGTTTATATTGAAAGTCTTCTATTAGTTTTAATCATTATATGAACAATGTGAATATATATAACTAATAAATAGATGAATTTCCCCTATTTACACGCAATTCCCAATTGATTATAATTTACTTTACTTATTATGTTAGTATTTAAACTGTTAGTTTGTTTTTTCATTTGACGAACAAAGGAAACGACAATTTCAAAAGAATAAATCACTTCTGTAATTTGATTAAAAGATTTAGTTAGAAGTGCATTTGAATAATATCTGGCTGATGTTAGAATATTGATCTGAACCTAAGAGATTAGTATCACTTAACTGCATCACCAGCAGATAAATCTTTTCTCTGAACTTTACTATAAATAAAGTATATAAATGGTTTATTCAGATTGAAATGGATACTAAGATAAGATTTAACTCTAGGAACTCTGATATTATTGAACTCTAAGGTTAAATTGAGTTTCATTTAGGAAAATGTGAATTCCATGAACTAGTGATTCATTAAATTAATATTATTATCAGAAGCGGGTTTTATGGATAATTTAGTAATTTAATAGCTGAATTCATGAGTCAATTAAAGCTCGACCATCATGGAAAGCCTGGAAGCACTGAACGGTTGTTTCGTCCTAGTATGGGACTGCTCAGCAGTGCACATTTAAAATCCCCTCTCGGGATTCGAACCCAGGACCTACCGGTCGACTCACTAGTGTTCGAGTACGAGACTATGAAACCACCGTCCAGTGCTTCCAGATTTTCAATAGTTATCTAACTTCAAATGACAAATGAATTAAACCATTAAAGTAATCTTTCACAAACAAAATCACCTATGTTTATACTCCTCTTCATATTATGACATTTAAACTTTACCACCGAGCTAACCAGACAAAATATCTTTGTTCTCTTGTTTGGTTACATTTCAACATGATTGATATTATTCACTACTGAGATCAGTTTGTGTTCACATCAGAAATGTGTACAGTCACTAGAATGGGTTTCACAAATAAATAGGTAAAATATTTATTGATAAAAACAGTTCTCATCTCTCTTATTGTGTTTGTTGCTAACATCGAAATATAATATGCACTTATCATCTATTTAGTCATGATAGTGTGTACATGACGTTCCTAATTTCGAGTCCTCTATACAGGATTGTGAGTGTACACTACCTAGGATTCCCATACTGTTAAGAAACGATCATACATTGACTCATCAACTCAACTGTTGAAATTACTACAATCTCCATAAATCCCCTTACATATATAAATATCATTTACATCAATCAATATTGATTTAAACTGACGTTTTAACTAACTTGTAGTCATTTTTGTATGCACAAGAAAAAATTGTTACCAACATATGTAGAATATTATAAATAAATGTTATTTTCAGAAGGGGTTTTCGGAGATTTCAGAAATCTCACAGATTGAAATCATAAGTCAATTGAATCTAGACCACCATGGAAAACTATACTAGGACAAAATGGCCGTCCAGTGCTTCCAGGTTTTCCATGGTGATCTAGCTTCAATTGACTCATGATTTTTAATCTTTAAATGTTATTTATTATTATTATTAACGGTACTTAGATAAATTTTAATTACACCTCTGAACAAAATGTTTTAGATGACATTTGATTACAACAATATCATTGTTATGTAATAACTATGGTTACTAATAGAACATTAATAACTTCTATAGATTAATACATTTTAATTATCAATAATTGAATTCTATTATAAACATTTTTTTAAAAAGGGGGGGGGAATACATCTGTCATATAAACTCCCAGTTAACAAAATAAACTAATCAAATATATGCATGATATTCTATAATCAATAATGACCTGTCATCGGTTATTGATTTTCATTATGGAAATTTTAATAAATTTTTACTAATTATCTGTCAATTATTGATTGAAATTATAAAAATTTATTTTATATAAAGAAAATTAATTATCTAATAGAAATTAATATTCATATTCAAATGGGTTTCACAACTAATGAACCAAGATATAATGTATTTGCACGTGATCTGTTGGACATATCAGCAACTGGTAAGTTTTAGTTATTTATTATAATATTGTTATATAATACAATAATGTATCATCTATTATAAAATTCATAATATGCTCCAGCTTCAATTGACTTATTATCTCAACTATTGAAATTACTATAACATTCACAAAAACTTCCTTCTGATATAAATCAATATATAATCACTGGTGACTGGCATCAAGAGGTATTTCCTGAAGATCTAGTGAGAAGTAGTTACCAGTGGAGTTGAACCGGGTCTGTTGTGAGATAGTAACACACTGAAGACAATAATGAATGTGTTACTCAATTTCGTGGATTAGTTGAAGTTAGACATTAAGACCAATGGATGCCGGCTCAGTGGTCTAGAGGTTAAGCGTTCGTGCGCGAGACTGATAGATCCGGGGATCAAGTCCCATGGTCTAGATCGTGGCTGTGCACTATTGAAGAGTCTCACAATAGGACGAAACGACCATCCAGTACTTCTAGGGGTTTCCATTACGGTCTAGCTTTAATTGACTTATGAACTCAACTATTGAGATTGCGTAAGAGTGAAAATTCTGGAATAATTATAATGAACAATTGAGTACTTATTTTTTATTAAAAGTTAGAATACAGGGCTTTTTATTTGTTATAGACAATAAATATTTTAATTCTTCTCTTATCTTTTGATCTGTGTTTCAAATATTCAAACATATTATTCACTGAAATAATGTAATTATATTAAAACATGGCTGAAGGAATTGCTATTCGGATCCAAAAGCCAGAGTTTTGCATCCAAAAGAAATATATTCAGACTCTCCGTTTACCCTGACTAAATTCGGGCTTAACTAGTTAATAATCAATTTTATAATATGGTGACGTCATATGATTAATGCTCATTTTTATGTCCCAAACTTATCCACACATCT